GTCGTCGTCTCCGCCTCCCTCCACGTCCTCCTTATACTTGGGACTGATGACCACAATGATGAGCACTGATTTCTATCAAACAACATCACTCTGTCAGCTTTTCAAAAATACTCTGCTTGCACAGGATTTGACAGGTCATCAGACAGACTCACATCATTCAGGTAGCGATCCATCCACTTATTAATGCCCATTCTTCGGATCGGATTGTCAAAGATGTCGATCTGTGGAGATTCATGCAAGCTCAGTGTGTGAAATGTCAGATTGTCTATAACTCTGATGGAAAGGTTAGGAGACTTACAGCTGGTTTGAACCCCTGGCTGGTCAAAAATCCGACAAAATTAATGATTTCTCCAGCGGTGTCCACAGAATATGTGATAAAAACATTCCCTGGAATAGAGAGGTGAGTGAAACAGCTTTTACCAGGAGAGAGTGACATATGCTATGTAAGGATGCAGCTTACTGCTCTCCTCGGGCAAGCTGATGGTCTTCCTGATCTCCCCAGTGACCGCTTCTGCACCTGCAGCTGCAGAACAACCCACGCTGACTTCACACATCACATCAACAGGAGGTGGCGCGCACTGAGACGTTAAACCTTGAGCAACACATGGAGCCTCTTTAAGCTGAGGAGTGCTCTGTGGGGCATTCCTGCAGAGGAATACAAGACAAAATCCAACCATGAAGTCAAAGTGCAGAGAGGATTATATACATCACTGCTAAATAAGCAGAAGTATGAAAACAAACTGTTGTTGGTAGAGTTGAAGGTCCTGATCGTTACGGCAGTAATTCTTCTGGTAATGAGGTGAGGGATGGTGATACTGTCTATGTACTGGAGCAGGGCCTGCTGGGAAGAATGGCAGAACATATATGAGACTCTTGTATATAGGCCTGTCACAATAAGCAATAAATCAATTAATCACATAATAAATTAGAACAAACTCAGTAATTTACATTTGTATAATTCCTCTCTCTCTTTCCACCAAAAACTGGATGACAGCAGTCTTCAGTTTGGTGCTTTGATTTCAACTATTTCTTTTTTTTGAAGAATAACTTTGTTTACAGTTCCTTCATAATTCATTTTATTTGTCGTTTTGTAATTTATTTTAGATATTTAAAGAGTTCCAGTGTTAAATGTTTGTTAAAATTTACAGTTAATTGTTCTTTTAGAATGAGTTGTTGCATTATTATGCCATTAACATTATATTACTTGAAAATGGTCTCAAATGAACAATAGTATTGTTTACCGCAATGATATTGCAATAAACATAAATTTTTCTGGACAATTTATCGTCCAAAAAAATCTGTCATTGTGACAGGCCTACTTGTATAGAGAGTGTGTATTTCAGCCACCAGGGATGAATCTTTCACACAAACACAAAACTGTTTATCACAGATATTCAAACTTTTGAAAGTTGACACCAGATATGTTCAGTATGAATTCATTGCTAAAGCAACGCGGAAGTGGCTGAATTACGTGACAGATCATATAAATCTGTCTCAATGTGTGTCTTCACTGAGAGTCTTTGTGTTTCATGATGTGTTATCAAATTATCATCATTGATATTGAGTTACATATGGGTAAATCGAGAACATGAGTTACTTTGGACGGCACAGCAAGTGTTGCCTTTTCTCAGACTTTTCTTACTTACCTAAAAAAAAAAATAACTATACAAAATAATGGATTGAAAAGAGGTGTAAACAAAAGGTTCTTCAGTAAATACAAGTGCCCTGTGTTTACTGTTAGAGTGGACATCATGTCGAATATACTGCAGTTCCACTGACCTGGTATACGTGGTTGGTGTTGTGGCACATTGTGGTGAACCCAGTTCATGTTTGACATGAGTGGTAATGGAGGCTCCAAGGATTCTGCTTCTTCAAAAGAACAGCCCAAGCCGCAGTCTGAAGGGCCTGTGAGGCCCCTCCTCTGACCATTCATGGGGTCCTGTTCGTAAAATGGCTGGTGCTGTCTGACAGGAGGACCTGGGTGAGCCGCATGTTGGGGCATAAAGTGAGGATCAGCACAAGTCTGAGAAACTGCTCTTCCTTCATACTGACACAGTCCCTCAGGGAGCCGAGCGGGGCCCAACCCACTCACTTCCCTACCACAGCCATGCTTCTCAACTTTCCTGATCCTTTCTTCATCTCCGCCACACTGGTCACAAGAAGGAAAAGAGGCCAAGTCAATACCGGAGACTGTCATCCGCTCATCCATCTCAACAGGAATGCTCCGATGAGAGCAAGGACCTACGAGAACAAGCCAAAAGGAAAGTAAATTTCCAGTTTACAGGGAACTACTTTCTGATCAACAAGACAGATCTTCCTCAGACACAGCAAGACTGAGGAAGAAAGTGTTGCCTACCTTTGTGACAGTCCATTTTCTTCACAGGAAGCTACTTAAGGGAAAGGAGAACAACATTTCAGCAATCTAAGAAAACAGAGCACCCATCATACCTTTCTACCCCACATAGAGAGACAAACACAGAATGTTGCATAAGAACTGCCATGACAGTTTTTATGCTTACCCGGAGTCAGGATCAACAAACAGAAACTGCTGGAACTGCTCAAAATATCACAGAACGTGGAAAAGCCTTTCCCAGGAGCACCTTCAGTAGGTTATTAATCTTTGCCACTGAAGTGTGTGAAGCAACAACTCTACCTGCTCAGGCTGGCTGGAATGTAATGCGATCACACAAACACTCGTACAAAGGTCAGAAATACTGATTTGAAGGTAAGGCAGGTGTGTCTCCCAAAGAAGAAACTCTCATAAATTCAAGAGTTCAGAACGACAAAACAAGAACAAAAGAGAAGAACAAAACCAAATGTGATCTGACCCACCTTAACTCCAGTCTTCCGATTCCTCAACTACTGAGCAAACCTGTTCTGAAGCAAACAGGAAACATTCCTTCTTCCTGGTTTATGTAAAGGTTTTCAGTCTCGTGACCCACTTATGCAAATGGCTTTGGGCAATAACGTCCAGCACTGCCCATCAGGTAGTTTCTACACCTACACTGTCAGGTGTAACTGTTTGTCAAAAAGTTTGACCTGATATTTAAACAGAAAAGAACAATTAAAAAAAAAGAAATAATAATAAAAAACAAACAAACATACTTTTAAAACAACTTATTGGACATATTTTCCCAGTGATACATTGTGCAGTCAAAATGAGTTTATTAAAACAAAGTGCACAACATAAATTAGCTGCTTTGGTTAAAAAAAAAAAAAAAACTTAGAGTTTGTCAACAACATTCTAAACCAGGTTTAGCTTAATAAGAACAATGTGTGATTGTACTCCTGTCACTCTGAGGCTGTGTATCTGCCTCAGGAAAGCAACTCACACAAGGCCTTCCTCAAGTTCACTGACTATTTGCATTCTTGCGACACAGACTGCCGTTTTGAAGAGTTAGGAAATCTAAGCTTAAGGAGATTTTGAGGAACATTAAGTGCTTTGAAGTAGGTATGTTGCCTTTTGTGAGCATGTTTTCAGCAGGGTGGAAATTACAGCATTCTGCTGTGTCAGAACTGGGTTCATTACTTTTTATGCTCTTATTGTCATGTTTAATAATATAATGTAATTATAATATAGCATCAGCCAACCATGTGGGAATAAAATACTATTCTGGGGCCTCCAACGTCTGAAAATTATAAATAAAATGAATAAGGCATTAAGTGACAGTTTGAAATTTCAGGCATTCTGATGAATAAAGCATTTTGATAACTTTGTGTGAGACTAAATGATATTATTGGATCATGAGTTATGATGTGTGAAGGAATGTAATGCCTGTGTCGTGGTATTTTTGCTTTTTACATAAATCCAGACAATCTATGACAGATTTGCAGTCATTTTGAGGTGATCAGATTGTATATAATGTAGCATTAAATGCAAAAGTAGATGATGATATTTCCAGTGGCTTCATGTTAACTTAAGCTAAAGACTGGCATATGGGCATCAGATGTGACATTGGGTTCATGATTACCACATGAGCCAGACTGGAACCGATCAAATATTCCGGCACATCAGTGTTGCAGCTCTTACATAACACTCTGACAGGGACATGTAACAGACGTGACTCACTGTTAAAGTTACTCCATTTAATCAAATAAGCATTTGATTATTTGAATCAAATGACTACAAGACAAGTCAATCTTATGTTGTCCTTTTCAGATGCTTCACTGTGTAGGATGTAGGATACCAATTCTTGAAAACTGTCTCTAAGTATGAGAAAAACAGAGCAGGGTTCTTATGCCGACCAGCAGTGGGCAGCAACAGTACTGTCGTATTTTATGTTATTATAATAATTTTTAAATATCTAACTTTTATAAACTGTATATATATATATATTTAATATATTTTCTAAAGCTATCCCCATGTCATGCCATTATAATATAAGACAGATAATCAATGAAAAAAAGAGAAGCAGAAATACACCACTCTCAATCAGAGCCAGAAGGAGGATCTAAGCACTGGCTATCACTGTGGTGTATGTGCTACTCACACATACACCAGAGTGCATGTGTGAGTACACCAGAGCCTGTTGCGAATGCTCAGACTAGATAAACAGTTTTTCTGTGATGGTGAATTTTTTCTGCTTTTTACAACTGCAGGGAATACATGAGCTTGATTGACAGCATGACAGCTCTAAGACAGTCCTCCTGGCTCTGATTGGTTGTTTCTGATTGAACAGTGTATTTCTGCAGAAGGCAGTAGAACCATAAGGAGGAGGCAGAGGAGGCAGAGCAGCTACATTTTTTTCACATCTGTCTTGTGTTATACTGCTGTGACATATTGACAGTTTCAACAAATATGTAAAAACTCATTTTGTTTATAAAAGTTACATACTTCAGCTTTAAAATATAGGACAGAAAGTTTAAACTTTTAAATTGTAACATTAAAACTTTCGTATGCCTTCATACTGGTAACTAGCTCGTTTTTAGATGAATGAAAATTTCAACTTGGACAAAATGAATTGACTGAAACCAAGTTTTATTCACCAACAAGACAATCACCAGTTCCTTTTATTATGTTCTATGACCCACGCAAGAGCCTGAATAAACTCTTAACAACACACAGGTGAACAGTAATAACCACACAAGATGTTACAATTAGAAATACTTCAGCTCAGAGGTTTTCAAAGTGCGCCCTTTCAGAGAGCAAAGCTAACTGCTCCTCCCTCAAACAATAAACTTTCTTCTGTTCATATTCTAGATGTTCCAGGTTCCTTTTGATGTTATTGGGATTACCTGCTATAGTTTTGTGTCACACCACACAATGTTGAAAGTGCTAAAAGTATGAACTTCTCTCATGTGCCTATAGTTCATGTAGCTTCCTGTAACAAAAAGGAAATTCTCTGCAGCAGTGGCGCATCTTCAGATCCTAGACATCATAATCAAATAATTATCGTCATACTTCCTTCTTCATTTTTGCTTGTCCCAGACTCTAAAAGTTGATTCATTTTTCTCCTGGCATAAGCTTGGTGAAGTTGGATAAATGTTTCTAGCTACTTTTTCTGGTTTTCCAAGTTTTTCTCAAGTCCCTAAAGAACTCTCCCTCTCCTCTTGCTTTCCCTTCATGCAGCGGGGCGTTCCCTACACTTTGAAAAGCCCTGCTTTAACATATTATGCTAATATTTTCAAACTACAACTACACATAAAAAACAGCTCAGTTAAACATATATGTTGTGATACACTTCAGGTTGATTAAAGAAATTACCATCGGATCGAACAATCAAGGTATCCACAAAAAATGATTTGATTTGGACATAATTTGGTACATATGTCGACCAAGGATGGAGTATAAAAAGTCAGGGTTAGAAAAGTAGACCCGTTTGGAGGTTAATGCAACTTTCAACATTTTTCAGAAGTTGAAGGTTGCATGTCTAGAACAAGAATCAAAGGACAGGAAGAGACAGCCAAAGACTCCAACAATCAGTGAAAATCACACTGCTGGACTCAGTGATTTTCAGATGGTGCCACATGCTTGTCTGAGACTTCAATACTAGCACTTGACAAAGTTTGAAGATATTAGGAATTTGGGTCTACATGATATCAGGAAGCGAAGTTCAATAGCCTAGCATGTTATACCCACAAGCAACATGGTGGCTCGATGTTGGAACTGATATATGAGTTCATCCAGAAATATTAAGTCAATCTTCATTAGTATGCATCATTACAAAGCGTGACCCCATCAAACTTTGTCAGGTGTTATTGAAGCATGCTCAATGTCTGGTGGCCTTTACTCACTGTTTCACAGTCTGATGGTCTCTCTAGCCACTGTCTGGCTATAATAATCCAATTGTGATACAACCACTCATCTTGTCTTAGGTCTACTCGACGTCCAAGCATCTTGTAATTTAAATTATTTCACGATAGGACAAGATTGGAGGAAAAATCCACGTTGGCATCCTAATGGTAGCAACAGAGATCATTCAATGGAATTAAATTCTATTCTATTGTGTCTGTTTCAAACTGGTTAACACCACTGCCACAGGGCTGCTGGATAGTGAAGCCTTGTGATTTACAACAGAAAAAACTTTCATTGTAGTATGGCTCAGGAGAGTGCTCAGCTCGCGGGCCTTTGCCTTGCAGGTCATAGCCTGTACCAGCTCCTGCCTGAAGCGGTGGCTGACCATGCAGTAGAGCAGGAAGTTGGTGGTGGAGTTGAGGTTCTGGAGCATGTTAGCAACATCCCCGGCTACGTTGATTGGAATGCTGTAGTCGTTCCTGTTGAAGCTTTCATCGTTGTACCTGGTCCTCAGGATGCAGTATGTGACAAAGCGAGGAAGACTGAGCACGACAAAGGCCACAGAGACAGTTCCCAGGATGAGAATGGTTCTTTTCAATGTACCTCTGGTGTTCCTTCCGTACATGATGCGCCGTTCCTCCTTAGTGAAGAGGTTGCTGGCCCGGCACAAATGGTACCCAATGAGATAGTTGAAAATGATGACCAGCACAATGGGGATTCCTCCAGAGAGGAAGGTAGCTATCCAGACTATAACTGTAGAATAGGTGTGATTGCGATATCGACAGCGGGGGAGTGTCATGTTCTCTCCGTCCACGGTTAGGTTTACAGGTTTGACAATGTTGATCCAACCCATTGGCACTGACACCAGGTGGGACAGCAGGACTATAGCTGTGCAGAACATTTTAGTGTCCCATGTTTGAGAAAGATTCTGTTTGGAAGCTGTGCTTCTGAGGACAAGGTAGCGTTCAATGGTGAACACCACCACGATCCAGGAGGAGCTGTAGAGGGAACCATACTGCAGGAATCCAAGAATACCACACCATGGGTAAGAGTGCCAGAAGGGCTGCACAGTCCAAAAGGCCAAAGTCAGGTCCAGAAGTATAACCCACACTAGGTAGAAGGTGTCCACAATGGCCAGACAGCTCAGGTAAACGATGGCCGTGTTGGACATCCCACATTTACGAAAACAGATCATATAGAACGTGAAGAGGTTTGCTGGAAGAAAACACAAAACCAAAAAGCCGTGTTGTTTACCTCAGCTCATCAATGTCCTTTATTATCCTCCTGAGACCCAGCAATGCATTTTTGTCCTCTGTGGAGGACATATGTTTTTTGTTCATAACTCTGAAACCATACATGGCACTGTGTTAAATCCCATTGGTCCTTAGAGAGGACATCCTGGGCTCTCCAATGATATGACATGTGTGGGGGTGGGGCTTCTCTAGAATTTTCTTCCTGATTCTTCAAAATGGCTGCCATCCCTGTGAGCACATTTTATCGAAAGAAGAAAGGTAAGTATATTATTTTCTAATTATGAGCTTTGTGAGTTTAATATTCAGATTGCTTCTAGTAAATGAACATCTAAGGAATAGTTAGGTGAATTTTCAGAGCAGTTTAATTATTTGTTGGCATAAAACATAACCTGTTTATGTGTGTCCTCCATAGAGGACATCAGGATTTGCTTTTAATTTTTTAACCTGTTTTAATAGAAGTCAGCTCACTGACTGAGGCAGAGAAAATCCTAAACAGGATTATTGATGGAGACTCAGACATAGATTTGTCAGATGAGGAGGACCAAGAGGGACAGATTGACGGTGATTTTGAGGTCGGGAGTTCAGAGACTGAGGCATCAAGTGAGGAAGAGGAGAGTGAAGTTGAGGATGCAAGGGCCCGTCGCCCACTTTGGACCAAAACTAACACGTAGGCTTCTGAGACAAGAGTAGATAAGCTTAGACAGATAAGTGTATTTTTTGGATGAACTATCACTTTTAGAGGACATAATTATTCAACGTATTTCTCTGTCTTTTAAGATTCCTGCCTGTGCTGGAAGACTCCGGAGAGGTTGTCTGTACTGCCCCAAACCGTGTAGACTGGCCACCATCAAAATACTTTGAGCAGTACATTGACAACAAAGTTTTTGAGGACATGTCCTTTTGCACAAACCAGAGACAGATTCAGGTGTCAGGCTCAAGTCTGAATACAACACCTGAGGAGATTAAGACCTTTTTTGGAGTCTCGGTGTACATGGCATGCCTTGGTTACCCAAAAATCAAAATGTATTGGGCCAAAAAAACAAGAGTGCCAATAGTTGCTGAGTCTATGACAAGGGACCGCTTTTTCAAGATCAGATGTTCTCTGAAAATCACTAATGATCTTGATGTAACTGAAGAAGAGAGGAAGCTAAATATGCTTTGGAGAGTCAGTCCACTTCTAAAGAAGGTGCAACAAGGCTGCCTAAACCTACCCAGACCAAGAAATGTTTCCATTGATGAACAAATGATTCCCTTTACTGGTAGATGTCCAGTCCGTCAATTTGTTCCTGGCAAGCCAAATCCAACCGGATTGAAGGTGTTTGTTCTCGCTACTCCAACTGGAATTGTATTGGATTTTGAAGTCTACCAAGGAAAAAACACCTTCGTTGGCAGAGACACAGGACTTGGAATAGGAGCAAATGCAGTTCTTCGGTTGACTGAGTCCATTCCCACGGGAACTCACCTGTACTTTGACAGGTATGATGAAAATGTCAACTGTGGTGCTGTTGATGATGATTCTCTGTAAACAAATGACATTTTTTTTGTGTTTGTGTCTGTCTGTCTAGGTACTTCACCTCAATAAAACTACTTGATAAATTGCTAGAAATGGGTCTGCCTGCAAGTGGAACACTGATGAAAAATAGACTCCCAAAGGATTGTAACATTACATCTGATAAAGAGTTGTTGAAACAAGGAAGAGGCTCCTCCGTAATGGTGACAAGGAAGCATCCTGAGCTGGCTGTGACAAAATGGGTTGACAATAAACCTGTACTCATGGCATCAACAGTGCATGGAATAGAGCCCCAGGATACCCGGACCAGATGGTCACTGAAAGACAAAAGGCATGTTCAAGTGTCCAGACCTGCAGTGGTGGCAGAGTACAACACCAACATGGGTGGGGTTGATATGTGTGACAGAATGCTTAGCTTTTATAGAATGGCTAACCGCACAAGGAAGTGGACTGTACGCACAATCCTACACTTCTTCGATCTGGCCATCACCAACTCCTGGTTACAGTATAAGGAAGACAGCCAAGCTTTGGCACGACCTATGAAGAAAACTCTCCAATACCATGACTTCAAACTGCTCTTAGGTGAGGAGCTGATTGCCCAGGGGCACTCAGGCCAACCCAATCCAATTGAATCTGATGTGTCGAATGATGAGGAGTACGTTCCATCACAGAAGAGAAGGAGGCCCCAGCCAGATCAGGAAGTGAGAAAGTATGGAGCTGTCCATTTGCCACAGATGATGGACAATCCTAATACTTCCAGGTGCAGAGCAGAAGGGTGCACTGGAAAAACCTACATAAAGTGCATCAAATGCAACATGTACCTCTGCATCTCAAAGAAGAAGAACTGCTTTATGGACTACCACAAACCAAAGCAGAACTAACACACCTGATTAAACTACACTAATCAGTTTGCTTTTGATGAGTTGAATGAGGTGCCTGGAAATCTGAACCACTGGCTTAAATGATGTAACTATTTGAAATTTACAGCACTAAAGATTGTCAGAGTTCAGAGGTAAATGTAATCCTCGAAATGTGTTCATATTTGCCACAAGAGAGTCCTGATGTCCTCTCCAAAGGACATACTCTAAAAAATAAATAAAAACATGTTTTGAAATTTTTTCAATTGTAGTGATGTTTTTTTCACTCCAAAGAGTCATGTAGTGTAAAAAAAAAGAAATTCAAAAACTTTTTTTCTCTGGGTCTCAGGAGGATATACTTCTGGAATTCTGTTGGCCTTGTATTAAAAAGCAGATGATTCTTTACTTTAAATAAACAATTCTTATAATGTTTTTTAGGTTATACTTTTCAATTTATATTTTTTGTTTTGACACTATAACATTCCACAGCAATAACCTTGTAAATATTAATTATAAATAATCAGCTTATTTCTACAGTTAATACAAAGTAATGTAGAGAGTAACATAATGTAAACTATAAACTGGCAGTTATTCATATACGTCAAGCGTTTATTTTTTAAATGTCTTATTTAGCTGATAACTCACAGTTTATAAAAATCCCCAAATTCCATCTTCCAAAGAACAAAAAATAAAATAATAAAATAGATTACATAATAAAAAAAATCAAAACTCAAATTTCAGATTGAATTTTAGTAATTATAAGTCCCTTTACAGTCAGTTTAACAATTAAAGGACCGTCAAGACACAATTAGCAACTGACTTACATATCATTGACATGTAAGTCAATGGCATGACATTACATTTATATCTCATTTTAATTATTCTTCTGCTTAATACGATGCAATACTCGTCTTACAACAGAACAACTTAAATCATTATGGAATAATCACATTTCTGTGGAACTGAAGTTTGAATTTTATTATTTATAAGCCACGATCATCAGATTAAAGAGAAGTAAACATTTGAAACACACCGCTCTGTGTGTAATAAATCTATAGGTTTTTATAAATGACGACAAACCTGGAATACCCACGATGCAAAGCAACGGGTAGTAGATTTTCTGCACGGTGACAAACACAGAGGCGCTGGCTCCCTCCATGATTCAGCCACTTCATACATGTAATACCTGCAACAAAGCCAGTAAGAGTAAATTACCTACATACAGTCCTATTACTGACATTTTTAAATGCTCAATTTACAAACATAAACCAGGCTCTTATTGAGCTGTAATCTAAGACACTATGTGTTCTTATGAATTGAAAGACAGTATTTAGCTGATGACTCATAATTAGTTTTGTAAATATGTTGATTTTCTATTGTTAATTTCATCTGTCAGTGACTAATGAGGAGGAAGCAGTGCTGTAAATTCACTTAGCAGAGATTTTTGGTTCCTCTACCTGGGAATTTGATCACCTGGCTGTTATACAAGAACAGTAGAAAAATTGTCAAATAACATCATTATTGTCAGCTTCCACCTTACTTCTAAGTCACCTTAACCAAAGTTGGCTGATCAACCAGAAATAACATTCCTGCTTTTTAATCTCTAACTGTTTTAAATGAGTCAAACCTGTTGGATCTCAGGCGGTGCTCCGTCTAGCTGTGCTAGTGCCATAAAAGAGTCTTGTACGCAAGTACAGTCAGGATGATTATGGCTCCATATGGACAAGGTTTTGCTAAACAGAAGGAGGGATCTAACAGGCTGAAGAAGGAGGGATTCATTCTCTTTATAGGTGAATGGAGGAGAATGTTCCCAAACTGACCCTCAACTGTTACTAATGACTATTGGAGGAAAAGAGACAGAATGGTAGAGTGAGCCATGTGTTTATGGTGGAGGTTTTATTTGATCCTGTGAGTCACTTTGAGATATATAGCACTATTGAAAACTATCTATCATTTATCTTCAGCTTATCTGGGGTCGGGTTGACAGGGCAGCAGTCTGAGCTGAGAGACCCAGACTCTCCCATAACTTTGGGCCAGCTCCTCCAGGGGAGGCCATCTGAGGAACATTGTCCCTCCAGGGTGTCCTGGGTCTTGCTCTGGATCTCTTCTTGGAAAGGATGTACCTTAAACGCCTCACCAGGGAGATGTGCATTAGGCAGGCTAACAAGATGCCTGAGCCGCCTCAACTGGCTCCTCTCGATGTGGAGAAGCAGCAGCTCCACTCCTGTTCCTCCTGCTGACTCAGCTTCTCATCCTAACTCTCATGATGGCCTGGTACCCCATGCACCTGGTGGACCCCTACAGCATTAAACAAGAAATGATCACTTCTCGTTAAGCTATTGGTCAGAGGAGGGTTGGGCAGGTTGAGAAAGGCAAGCAAGTAGGAAACACACTGATTGGCCACTCTTGATTACATAGTTTGCTTCATCTAGAGCTTGATTCCCTGTCGCTTGGGAAACTTTGACTTTGGAATAAACAAAGTCAAAGTGCAAGAAGGAATCAGCATGCCTAACAGGTTGCAAAGCTGGAAAAATTCACTTTTATGACTCCTACAGGTTCAACAAAGAAGCTTGGAGATTTAACTGGTAGAAAGCCAAACCCAAGGAGTTCTGCAACAGTACCCGGGTAACTCTTCACACATACGAAGGGTCAGAATGTGACCCTTTATGTGTTGTTTTTTCTGACTGGAAAATATTATAATAACTCTGCAAGTTCAGTAGAACCAGACCTGCAGGGTGAGTCGGGTTCTACTAAATGATGACTGCATGTTTCATCATCTTGATGAGCCAGTAGCTGAGTGTGCGTCAGCCAGACAACATCCAGACAAACATGACCCCCTCCTCCCACAGTCCTCCCAGAACCCCAGGCCCACCCACCAGCCCACCAACCCAGTCATCCATTCTTCCACCTCCCAACTTGATTGACACTCAGCCAACCTCGGACAGACTGTGCCATCTCCTCCTCTCTGTCGGACATGAGGTCATCCCAGATGCCAGCGGCGGCAATTAGCCGTTATCTCCCCGTCTTTCTCTGGCAGTGAGACAAAGGTTATCCAGGCTGAAAGGAAGCTTTTACTCCCCTGGTGCTTGTAGATAAGTGAGAGCAGGCAGTTTTCAATCTATCAAAAGTTTAAGAAGATTCTCTGAAGCTATTCTCTGTCTGGTCATTTGGCAAAGCCAAATTATTTTGATCATCCTTACTGAGATAAATTTGAGAAAGTTTAGTCTAATTTAATCTGAAATCATTTAGTTTTTATTCAGTATGTGTACAGATGTGGTTTCAAATGTAATAGAAATGAGTCTCAGAAGAGTGTAAAATGTTTATTTGTCTTTTCTGAATTCCAAACGCCCAAAAATAAAATAAAATAAAAATCAAGAAAAACAAGAAATATTAAAAAATGGAAATGTCAGATACAAAGGAGTGAGGTTAGCCACACTTACAAATCATTCAGCTGTACAACTGAAGACATAAAGAGAGGACAACTCAGCGTCTCTGGGCTGAATCCTCATTTCTACTGGCTCCACATTCAGACTTCTTCACACGTTACCTGAAATGGTCCCCGAGTTTTCCTAACTCAACGTTATAACCCTAAACCCCCAACCACCCGGAACAAAGACTCGGTACAGAGCTGAATAATATGAGGGCAGAAAGAAGTAAGTCAGCAGGTGAACTGGTTTGGGCTCAGCTGGAGAAGATGGGAACTCTCTCCAAGCTGCACCAAAAGAAGAAGAAGAAAAAACACTTAAATAAGAGGAACTACATGTGCAGACTCCTCTTTGCTCACACATGGTCCAGAGAGCAGAAAGAGAAGAAGCAGCGCTGCCAAGCTCTGATTGGTAGAAACATATTCCTTGTTAAGGAGCGCAGAGCTTCTTGTTGAAGTTTGTATAAAATAGAAAAAAAAAATCTAAATACAAATAGGGATGAAGCACAAAGAAAAAGCACTCAAAAAAATAAATTCTGACTTTTTTCCTCATAATTTCCACTTCTATCTTAAAAAGGTCAGAATTATTATTTTTTCAGTGGCCCTAAATTTTCTTCTGTAATGAAGCCATGATTTATTGGAGAATTTTGTTTTCAGACAGAAAAAAAAAGAATGAGGCATCAGATTTAATCTTAAAAAATAACACTGGAGCTTCTGCCTGATCCATGCGCTGCTCGGTGCTCCTATCCCTGCTGTTTTTTTTTTCAGAATTATTTTTGTGCAGGAGAAAATAAATTCTGGAACAGAGGCAAACAAACTAAAACAAGCTTTTCTTATTTACAGAGAATACAGGTTATTTCTTTGCATGAACCTCCCCTCTACCCAACCTCCTCACCTCCTGTGTCCCAGTTCAGTTTGTGAGCCTTCACCTGCTGGGTTCAGACACCCAGAGAGTCAGAGAGTCGTTTTTTTTCTTCATTTTTTTATTTTATTTTTTGCAGGAAGGAAAATCTGAGAGGTTCGAGTTGAGCAGAGGAAGCTGAACAGATCCCTGGAACTAGAGGCCTGACTGCTCCACAGTCTGTTGGGCTTTCTTATTTAAATACAGCACTTCTGGGGTCAGCCCCGCCCCCAGCAGCAGTTCCACCTGAGTCCTGAAGGGCAGCAGGGTCGGAGGGGGAGGACATGGGGACAGCGGGTGTTTTTTTTTTTTTTTTTTTTGCTTGGCTGGGGGCGGCGGGTGTTTAGAGGTTATCCCCAGGCTGGTACTGAGGCTCGGTGGCTGTGAAGTAGTCCTCCAAGAAGGCCTGCAGGTACTCGAAGGTGGGCCTCTCCTCGGCGTCCTTCTTCCAGCACTGCAGCATGAGCTCATGCAGCGAGCTGGGGCAGTCCTGGGGGCACGGCATCCGGTAGCCCCGCTCCACCTGCTCCAGAACCTCACGGTTGTTCATGCCTGGGGAGCCAAACGAGAGCAGAGTGAGGACAGACACTGGTTTCTGAGCTAATCCATAGCGGACACATTAAGACTGTTCAAACGGGCCGTTATCAGGTCTCCTGGGTGTTTGCTGTGTGAGCAAACACACGGTCAGCAGTAAAGCACACGGACACGCACTGAATCCTGCAGATCAGATGTTCAGAGGAGCAATATGATAGAAAGACATGAGGGAATATGAATCTGTGGTGTTGCAGAACTCAGCGCTCCTCTGCAAACTAGAGATGAACTGATCCACTGTTTCATTTCCGATACAGATACAAATATCTGAGGTTTGGTATCGACCGATACCGATCTGACACAGAAAAACAGCTGAACTGACTGAAAATGATTCTTTTTTTAAACAGACATAAATGTACTGAATTACATTTATTTGGTAACTGCACCAGTACAGCACACTGACATACCAGTTTGATCAAACATGTAAAAAGAACTTGAAAAGGTTCAGTCAGTGGAATTACAACAGCCAATGGAAAATAAAAAATAAATCCTATTTTCACTGAAGGTCCAGAACAGGGCAGATCAAGGAGCAACACACCTGTAGCTGATTATTAAGAATGTTCTCATTTAAAGGGACAGTGCACATTAATCAATATGACTGGCCTGGCTTTGATTTGCCTGGGAAGATCTATGAATGAGCTAATGTGCTAATTGCTCTGGTGCTAACTATTGTTAGCATACCAGTCGATTGCAACACTCCCCATTTTATCACAAGTGTGGCAGAACCAGGACCAACAAGAATTAGGGAGGAACCGCAAACCAACCAACAATAACAAAAAGGATGTATTTGTTTTATTGATTGGACTTGACATTTATGTCCTGTGTGAGGGGTGGCCATGGCCCCCTGTTGGCCCCCCTGAGGGAACCGTCTGTGTTTAGATTTAGATTGTTCTTGTTTTTTCCGACTGGAAACGATACTAATTGAGTCGCATGAACTTGTAGAACTCTGTGTGCTGCCAGAACCAGACCTGCAGGGAGAGTTGGGTTCTATTGACTGATGGGTGGATGTTTCATCACAGATCGTCAGAGTTTCTTAATGAGCCAGTAGCTGAGTGTGCTAACCTTCATCGCCTCAGCCTGTGAAACAGTCAGTCAGACAAACATGACCCCCTCCTCCCACAGTCCTCCCAGAACCCCCAGGCCCACCCACAAGCCCACCAACCCAGTCATCCATTCTTCCACCTCCCAACTTGATTGACACTCAGCCAACCTCAGGACAGACTGTGCCATCTCCTCCTCTCTGTCGGACATGAGGTCGTCCCAGATGCCAGCGGCGGCAATTAGCCGTTATCTCCCCGTCTTTCTCTGGCAGTGAGACAAAGGTTATCCAGGCTGAAAGGAAGCTTTTACTCCCATAAAGAGCAGGAAGGGCCAAATGGATCAGTGTGTGCTTTAGCAACAGCTCTGTGTTCTGAACAGGACAGGCTTGTCCTTCATCACCACGGATCAGTGAAGGCGCAGCGCAGCGCGGCAGGCCAAGAGTTCTTACCTGGATACGGCACGCGGCCCTTTGTCACCAGCTCCGTCAGCAGGATGCCGAACGACCAAACGTCTGACTTGATGGTGAAGCGGCCATACAGCGCCGCCTCTGGGGCCGTCCACTTGATGGGAAACTTTGCTCCTGAAGACAAAACAAAAACCCAGCAGATCATATAAAATTCAACATCAAAAGAAAATCTATTGTTTATACACAGAATTATTGTCCATCCCTTCAACCAACGCGCTCCGATACAAACTGACACAAACTTTGACACAATTATTGCAGGAGAACTCCACAAATCTGACCTATAGGGAAGTAAGAAAGTCATTACTGAAAGTCATACCTCAGTGAAACTTAGAGAGACAAATGAAGCTGAGAGTGTGTGTGGACTTGGCTCTAGATGAAAGAATCAGATGGTAAAGCTGTTCTGCTAGTAAATGTTGGTTCTACGGACTCAACATAAATGTATGCCACACTTTTCAGATTTTTATCTGTAAAAACATTAAAAAAAATCTAAGCTAATCTTCTACTTTGTTTTCACCCATCATACTGAAGCTTGTGGGACAACAAGAGGAAATGACTAAAAGTTTAGTGGAGTCCAAGGTGCCGTGTGACGGCAGAACAGCAGAAGTGGGAAGAACTTTAAAGAGGATGAAATGTATAAAAAGAGCAGACAAGAAGGACAGACTGTCAATGACAGTCTGATTCTACAGGCTGCTGCACCATGTTCATCAATCACCGATCTACTTCTGATCAACAATTAACTCATGGCATCTGCTGAGTGTCTTTGCACACTTGAGGTCAGACTGAAAAAAATTCAACCCTGATTTCTTAAAGAGGCAGAATTCTGTATTTTCAAGGTACATTGGACCATTTTAAACCAGAATAAAGTAACTATGTTAAACTTCTAAATATCAAATATGACTTGAAAAAATTCACCTTTGGCTTCAAATTGGGCCTCTGTCCCTTTAAAAACTCCTGCTCTTTCTGCAACTCTGCCTTCAGGAAGTCATCACAACATGGCTACTCTACTAACCCTTCAATAACGTTTTTACAGCAATCCACTGAGAAGCAGCTCGGCAGTTCCTTCAGGTGTTTGCTAATTGGCGCTGGCTAGTCTGAAGGAGCTGAGTGGAAGAAGAGCTGCGCTGTCAAGCTTGGAAACTGCAGCTCTGAGAAGGAGCCTCGTTCTCAAAGGCGTCGCTGAGTTAAACTAAGTTATTGCAGAGCTGAATCGTTGCCATGGAGATTAAAAAATTCCTCAAACATACATTAAAAGATCAAAGCAACACTCCAGGTATGATTTTGATGAGGGAATAGCATGATAACATGTAAAACTCAAAAAGTAGCTGTTACAGAATACTAGCCCTTTAAGTTTCTGTTGCTTCCAACGTGTCCAACATGTGATCTAAATGCCAGCCGTGTTGTAGCTGGGACTCTTCAGGATGAAGAACATGTGTTCAGTAAAATGACTTCATCTGTTTTAGGTTGTGTTTCCAGAAGCAGAACTGGATGTACTTTATGCTGGCAGCGGTAAGCCTCTGTTTTTACCACCGCTTGTTTTTCTCCCTTATTCTGAGAAAAAAGACTAAAGCTAAAAAAGTTCATCCTACTAGAAGGCTTGTAAAATATGTTCACTCCCTGATCAGCAGGCAGCAGGCCCACAGCCTTCTGAACTGAGGTAAGGAGTTGGTTCTGGTTCTGTGGAGCTGTGAGGAACATCTGAGGTCTGCAGTGGGTTTGTTGTGTGTTTATCTCTCAGGGTGGATTTCCTGCACACAGTCAGGCTGCTGTGGTGTGTGTGAAAGCATGAGCGGGGTGGGGAGGGGAGCCCCACCTTGCCGAGCCGTGTACTCGTTGTCTTCGATTAGCCGGGCCAGGCCGAAGTCGGCGATCTTACACACCAGGTTGTCTCCCACCAGGATGTTAGCCGAGCGCAGGTCTCTGTGGATGTAGTTCATCCTCTCGATGTAGGCCATGCCTGCTGCCACCTGAAGAACAGGGGGGTTGAGTGGGGTAGAGGGGGTGTGTTGGAAAGTTGAGTGGAAGTAAAAAGACTGTGGTGGAAAGACGTGCTAAAGCAACAAGGCTATCTGCAGGAGTTTGATTCTGGATTTGGAGCTTAAACAGTCATCACACTGAGTGATTCAGGATATGCTTTGCGAACTTCACAGCACACGCCTGAAATAATGGAAAAGGAAAAATGAAAAAAAAAAAACAGGAACTGTGTGTTTTACATTTTATGGCACCGTGATGATGGTGAGGAATATCTACTTCAAAACAGTCCAAACAAAAGAGTCTGAAGAACTTTACTCAAAAAAACAACAAACAAAAAAACAACAACAGATGAGTAAAAGTTTTCTGTAAGATCAACGCAAAGTAGACACTGAAGATTTGTGGGGGGTTCAGAGCACTCATGCTGCCACCCCAAAATATTCCGGCTATCTGCACATCCTTGGCGTTTGCCCATGTGGTCCATTATTAGAAACCATTTTATGATTAAAAGTACATGTAGAAATATAAGCATTGAGGTCAATACACACCTGTGCTGCCATGTCCACCAGGTTGGGCAGCTTCAGCGCTCGTCCCTCTCCGTCCTTTAAGAAGTCCAGCAGGCTGCCTGCAGCACGCAAACACATGCAGCTGAAGAAGGTTTCCCGTTTCCTGTAACCTTGACCCAAACTTGCTGTTCAGCCTCCACAAATTGCATCTAACAAATCTGACGGCCAACTGAGCCTTTCAGGTCATGAAAAGCAGCGAGGCTCAGAGGAACAAACAGGACCAGTGGCTTCACAAAGACTTCATTCAGAAAGTTCACAGAGCTTCAGCTTGTTTTAAAAAAGACACTCCAGCATTTCAGGCTGCAGAGGTAGATGCTGATCAGACGCGGTGATGATGTAGATCAAAGATTCCTCGCCTCGCTCTGCGTTCTCTCTCTGAATTACTGCTCGGATCCTTTGCTTTGATGGTCTTAACGATCTGCAGTCCGTTTCACCAGAACAGAGCGGTTGCTGCTCTGCAGAGGAACAGAAGCAGCTCAGACTAAACGAAACGGACTTCACACAGACTCCAGTGGTTCACTGTTCTGGAGTTTTTACTGGGCAGACAGTTCAGGCTGCAGGTCTGGGGAAAGGTCAGACCAGTGGGGCTCAACAAGAACGTTTTGCTTTTTCAGCTGCTGGACAAGAAACTGCAAAGCAGTTTGATATCCTGTAGGAAAAGAAATCTGAATATCCTTTTACATCCAAACATAAAAAGGGTCTAAAAAAAATGCAACGTCCCAATTCTTGCTTTATTTAGCGAAGTTTTAAGCTACGAAGCAATCTATTGAGTTTTTGAAGGATTGTAACAAAGACGTGAGTTCTTCCTGTTTGCCCCAGCACACACACTTAATGTAACATCTATACACTTCTTTTTGTAATAGTTCTAGTTCCTGGTGAACTGCACATGAGAAAGCCAGTTAACTGAGCCGGCCTCAGAGTCCTGGAGTGCAGCAGTATTCTACACTGTTTGAAGTTTGCTCAGGCCCTGAGCAAACTTCAAATAAAAGCAGAGCTAATGTTTTGTTCAGGGATTTTGCTGACCTTGGAAACATTCACCACCTCCAAATTTATTTTCAGAATACATTCCAATGCGCCAATTTGGTCGGCTGCTTTGTAAACTTTAGGTTGAAAAAAGCTCCACAGCTTTGTTGACGTTTTGGTGATTCAGTCAAATAAGTAGTTAAACAATTTTATGTATACTCTTATTTTGAAGAGGGTGGAGACAGCAGCAGGTCTGTTTCCTCTCCTCATGTTTTCACTCTTTTTCTCCAATGATTTATTTCAAACAAGAAACAGACTAGAACAAAATAAACCACAAACAGCAGAGAACAAGATATAAACATAAATACAATAACTACATTATTGATCAATCCTTGATGCTCAAGGATTGTGGTCTTTCAAGGACAAAGACAGTGTTGTGTTGGTGTAGCGCTTTAGCGTAAATGGAACTGATGTTTATGATTAGCGCCTCTCGCTTTTTAGTTATATTCATCTGTATAAATGAAGAGATTGATTAATCTGCAGATGGAATAAAAAGTATGAACATCTGGATCAATTAAAAAGGTTGAACCTTCATTATTTCATCTGTGAAAATCAAATCTTATAGAAACAAAACCTGAAGCCAGCAAGTTCCATTTAACTGATATCTACTCTTGCAAACCATGTGGATGCTCCCCGGTGCATCTCCATGACAACTAAGCTTTCCCATGTGGCGGTACCTTTGCTCATGTACTCTGTCACGATGTAGATGGGCTCCTCAGACACCACGGCGTACAGCTGGACCAGCTTGTCGTGGCGGAGCTTCTTCATGATCTGAGCCTCCTCCAGGAACGACTCGGGGGACATGGTGCCGGGCTTCAGCGTCTTCACCGCCACTTTGGTGGTGCCGTTCCACGTTCCTGCTCACACGCACACACACACACACCACACACACACACACACCCACACACACACGCACGCACGCACGCACGCACGCACGCACGCACACGCACACACACACACACACACGCATGCTGGCGTCAGCACAGCAGGAGCATCTGCTGCCGTTCACACTGCGTCAGATACTCAGGCAGAGTCGACGGCGGGCAGGCATGCACATGGGGGGATTCAGGGGGGCTTTGTTTGAAATGTCATGCAATACAGAGTGAGATCGGAGATGATGTGATTTACGCTGCTTTCTTATGACATAAACACAGAAAACTGAACCTTTACTCAGAGCTGGGGTTCCTACATGATTTCCAAATCATCATTCAAGACTTTTCCTGATCCAAATGTTTTCAGATATGTTCACTCAGCAGGTCTAAATGCTCAATTCTTATTTTATGATATGATTCATTCATTCTCTTTTTTTTAGATGGTTTTTCATGTTTCTGAATGATGTGACCGTAATGAGGGTTCTGTGTGAGCAGTTCACAACACAGCAGCGCTCTGAGATAACTGTTCAGATTACCTTGAAAAAGTCGCCTCAGTAAACTAATGGAAACATCGTCATGAATTTGACAAATTCTCTTTTTATTTAAAATCCATAATTAAATGTACTTTTCTTTTAATTTGGTCAAAAATAAAACAGAAAAACAGATTTGTTTCAGACTGTAGGAACCCTACTGACTGGAACTCAGTCTTTCTCCTCTGATCTCACTCTGAGTCAAACATTCACACTGGAGTGGGGATGTTAGTGTGGCATGAACTGACTGACTGGGTTCAGAATGAGTTGGAGGGATTTATTCAGTAATCACAGTTAGCTGCTGTTAGCAGAGCAGCTGGGTGGAGGTCTCCTGCGGATCCACAGGCCCTCGCTCACCTCCTGTCCTGCTGGGAGTGTCGACATTCAAACATCTGCTGTCCCCTGAAAAACTATTCACACCCCTTGAACATTTTTTGCATTTTGATTGACTCAACCACCAACTTCAATGTGTGTTATTTAGCTGCAATAGAAGAGTTTGGTAAAGAAAACTGGTGAAAAAAAGTCTTGGTCTTCAGGAGACTAGAGCGTGTGAGAGAGGGGAGGCCTGCTTTGTGTTGGTGAATCACATAAAACTAATCTATACTAGCTATAATAATTTCTCCCCTAAAAGGAGAAAAAAAACAGCACAGCTTATAATTGGATATGTAAAATCTGAAGAACAGATTTGCTGGTTGAATCGAGGAGCTGAAACTCTGTAAGAAATATTCCAGAACACCTTAAAGCCTCCGTTTCTCTCATCAGAGACTTCCTGAGGAACATGTGAAAAAGGGGAGCCCAGGTCTTATTTGGATTTTTTTCAGGTTTTCTTACCGTAGAACACTTCAGCAAAGCATCCCGTCCCCAGCTGCTCCTCCAGGTTCAGGGCGTCTCTTCTGATCTCCCAGGCATCGTGGCTCAAGCCCACAGTGTCGGGGATGTAGTTCATGCACACGCCCGTTAAATTAAAGCACAAACCATCCGCACCCTCTACATGGTTGGGGGGTTAGGGAGGGGGAGGAAGGCAAGGCACAAGGGTTAACTACGGGAAGAGGAGCATGCATGGAGGCGCACAAGGAGGGAGGCCATGTTGGTGGGGGAAGCAGAGTCTCCTGACACACTCTGTGTTTTTGTGATTTAGAATCTTTGCTTTATGATTCTCTCAGCTTCCACATTATTCATTATTCTCCTGATTGGATTTCAAGGTGTGTCTGGAGTATCTGCTCCCATCCCCATCTCCCCCCTGGTGTGACCTCCAGAGACGGCTGGGTCCGTACCCATCCAGACCTCCCCAAACTGCCCGTTCCCCAGGCGCTTGATGAGCTGCAGCGACTCCCGTGGGATCTCCCACACATCTTTGGTTTTCACCGACAAATCGGCGAGGCGCGGCATCCCCTTGTGGCAGGGAACCACCAAGCGACAGCAGAGGCCTGCAGCGCGGTCTGCAGCGCCACGCAGCAGCAAAGAGGAGCAGAGGGAGACATGTGCAGAGAGTTAGCAGAGAGTCCGGCCGGGCGGAGCGGACAGAGGATACAGAAGACATGGAGGCAGAGGGGGGAAAAAAAACACAGCTGGACGGAGATAAAAAGGTTTCTGTTGAAGGAACATGGGAACAAAAATATCCAGGTCAGAGAAACAAAGAGGAGAAAGATGAACCAAGAAGAATTCATTTCACAATTCAACAGGAGCAGAAGCTGTGGATCAGTTCAGATCATCAAACTAATATTAATATCAGACACAGATGATCTGAGGAAACACAAAAAGGAGATTTCAAGAAGGAAATCGTTCCATACCAATCTGATTCTACGTGAAAATGTAACGGCCTAATAAACCCAACACCAGCCACCAAGCGTTACCCAACAACCAGAGTCTGACACTGGACAATTTTAAATAACCTGCTTACAGAACAGTTCTTATGGGGTCTAACGCCAGACTTTGACTAGGCTGTTTTCAGGAGGCTTTTAGAGTCTAACTCTTCTTGGCTTCACTTCACGACATAAACTAAGACATCCTAAATTATTATCATGTATTTTCCATTTTATATCACAATTAAGTAACTGCCAGGCCTGTCAGGATAACACATTTTGCTGGACAATAAATTATCCCAGAAATTATTGCAATAAATAATAATATTGTTATTTTCAGCGCATTTTCAAGTTATTCAACGGTTATGGCAGGACACATTCTCAAAGATCAATAAACTGTAAATTGTAATGAGCATCTAGGATTTAACACTGGAATTGTTAAATGTGTTCCACTGTTTATTTATTTTATTTATTTATCCAAAATAAACACAAAACAACAACAGAAACAACTAATAAAAACAGAAACTTTATAAAATGAATTCTAAAGTGTGTGTAAGAAAAATTGTCCTAAAAAAAGGGTCTGGATGAGACCAAAGCACCAGACTGAAGACTTTTATCATCCAGTTTTGAGTAAAAAGAGAAAAATGTTGAATTATGCCGATAGAAATTTTTCAGCTTACGATTTAATTTTAGTAATTTTTTTTCGATTTACCCTGTGATTAGTTGATTTATTGTGACAGGCCAAGTCACTATACCATCAGTTTATTTTTTTTATTAACTCAGGATTGTTTAATCATTAAATTAAATGTCTGAAAATACCTTTGATCTGACATTTTTTGACTTTAAACATTCTGCTCGTGTAGTGCTTTCCTCTCATATCAGCTCTCAGCCTCGTAGGCATTTTATGGTGTTTCCTGCTCTTTGTGCCAGAGGAACATTGCGTCCTGGTGGGTCAAACATGAAGCATTAGCAGCTGTTTCCATCCCACTGACCACATCAGCTGATGACACCACGCCGCCCGGATCATGGAACCAGAACATCACAGAGCTCTGCTGTTTGCTCAGCATTGATTAAAGCAGTTTCCGCCATTCCCTTCATGCTGTTATGTAGAGGAGGACACCCCCCCGGGCCTCTGCCCATAATAAGGTCCTCAGGTGTTTGCACACAGCAGTAAAGACAAGATAAAGGGCTGGATGTCTCCTGTGGGAGGATTAATGCTGCGGACTGGACCATCTGGGCCACCTCAGCTCCACTCAGTGATCAATACGTCGATACTCCGCTGCGTTCACTCCGCTCATAAAACCCGTCAATGTGAGGCGGGTTGCTACGCAGCGAGTGTGAAAACAGAGCCCAGGGAGAGATCAATCTGAGATTAGCTCTGAACTCTGAGAACTGATCTGAAAAAACAAGTCACTCAACACAATGTTTAGATAGAAAAAAGTCCAAAAGAATCATGGAATTTTTGGACTTTTTCATTTAAAGGTAATGAAAGAAGACTAATAAAAAGAACAAGCTGATTGTTTTAAGTCATTCTGGAGCTGGAAATAAAAAAACTAAATACTGTAAATGATTCGTCATGTTTATTAATCCTGAAACATTTAGAAAGACATAAACTTTGTCCATCACTGCCATGCAGAACTGCATTTTACTATGGGGGATGGGGCTCTCTGTCCAGGGCAGCACAGCTGGTGGGGCTGAACCCACAGTGAATGTTATCACTTATCTATATGTCCGGTACACAGTGTCCAGACCCAAAAAACAACATCAAAAAGAAAAACACAACTATCTATACAGGTGGCTGATGATGCTGAAGCTGGCATCTGATTTGAAGCTGATGTGAATTTGTGAAAAATGTAAAAGCTACTTCAGTTTTTAAAGGCATCTCAACTGAACAAAGTCTTCACTGACAACCAGGATTAATACATACTTATGTGGACCTGGTTTGATGTGGATTAACAGATCATAGTCTACCCATAGTCCTACGTTAAAAACATCTGCTGCACACCAAAAATAAACCGTTCTTCCATCAGATCTGCTGCAGGTACAGTTCTGATCCTAAATCACAGGAAATGTTTGAAACATGCCACTGATGGGACAGTTTTCCACCTGAGTATTTACTTTCACTACTCATTTTTATTTAATCTTTACTACAACAAGTATGTTGTTTGTTCTGAAAGGTTTAAAGAACAGTGTTTGTATGTGACTGTCACAGAAGAAAAGCCAATAAACAGCAAGATGCCAAACAAGCAGAAGCCCTGAAAAGAGTTAAGGTCATAACTTGATCTGATGTGGATCCAGACGTCACCTAAAGTCGATATGATGCAGAAGGATAGTTAGAGAATCCATGGTGATGACCATATGGGTCGATGAGCTAACTAGAGCGTGTCAGAAGGAATGTCCCTTTTCCCCATGAGGGGGAGCCAGTGGGTGGGACGGGAGACGGTGACCAACTCAAGACATACAGTCCCATCAGTGACTCCAGCTGGATGCACATATAGGAACAGAGCAGAGTGAAAAGTTAAGAGTATGAATGAAGGCTAAAGCAGTGAAGGATCTAATACTCCATCTCTCCACAGTGGTGGAGCAGGAGAACCTTAATAGTCTGCCTTGTTGTAAACTACAGTGAATATTGTCAAAGAAGAAGAAGATACTGACATGATACCGTTTGTAAAGTTACAGTCAAAAATTAACAGTGAATAATCTGGGTTACTTCACAGGTTCAAACGAGCTGCAGACACATTCATGATGCCAACTCCAGAACACACAAACACAAAGAATAGATGCAACAGAAAAATGCTGCAAGCATAACAAATTATGCTCCAACAACAGAAAACAGAAGTGATAAACTTCAGTCAAGAAAATGATGGAATAACAGGAGAAGAGAAAACCTACTGCAAATAGTAAAAAACAACTTTTAATGCAAAGTTGCATTAAAAGTGCCAACTTAGCATTAAAAGTGTTGTTTATTGAATGACACTTCATGACCACAGTCAGACATTTATAAAGAATCCTTCATGTTCATGACAATGTCAGGTCACACTCTGTGAAATTGTTCCGCTCTATAAAAATAGAGCGAAACAATTACTGGTTCTATTACTAAAAACCCAATTAGAGAAAGTTTTAAGCTCCAGGTCTTAACGTGTCATACTGCGCTGAATACATCAAACATTTACTGTAAATTGAACATTTTCCTAATAAACTGTAAACATAGAAGAAACACTCTTTGTTTTACCTGAGTAGTGCTGAACCAGCTGCTGCAGTGTGTCAAACTGAGCCCTGGTGGTGATGTAATATCCTCCGCTGTCCAGCTTACGAATCTTATAGTGCTTGACGTGATCGCCTTTCACATCATCCCAGTCCCGTATGGACAGGGAGAAGGCCCCTGGGGGACACACCGAGAGGGTTAGGAGGGAGGAGAGGCTCAGTGTGTGTGTGTGTGTGCGTGTGTGTGTGGGTGTGTGTGGTGTGTGTGTGTGTGTGTGTGTGTGTGTGTGTGTGTGTGTGTGCTTGCTTTACCCTTTGTGGTTTCGCTCTCTCGGATCAGATAGGTGCCCCGAGGATTACCGGTGGACAGCAGCTGTCTTTCTGCATCCTTGCGGCCCAGTTTACCAAAGTACCAGCTGAAAGAAAACAGCCAGCTCAAACGGTCTGGATAACTTTTCCTTAGTTCATTCCTTTGATTGTATAAAGTTCTAGACTAATAAACCCAGGTTCACTTATTGGCAGATTGATAAGGGGGGTGGAGCCTAATCTAACACCTGTCTGAGTGGGCTCACAGTGCAGGCTACCCTAACCAGTCCCATTACTCCATTATTTTACAGCCTCCCATTACAACCATTAAATACCAGAACTTACTCTTCAGCTTGAATGGAGTCTACTGGAGCCACGTAGTTACTGGGGATGTAACCGCTGCCCCCGGTGGTCAGCGAGCGCGCGTCCCACCAGTCCCCCTCACTGAAAAACACAAACATCATTGTCATTGGTTGGTTTGTAATGCAAAATGAAGCTACAAAGGTTCAACATGTGTATAAGTCAGATTTCCATAAGACCAAGCATGACTTTCTTACAACATTCTGTCAGAAATTATTATATTGTAACATTCCATCCTCTCAGTCATTCTCCTGTATTGTTCTTAAAGTCCTACTTCCTCCTTATTTCCTAGTAGATAGTCTTCAGTCTATACTGGAGAACTCCAAGTAAAATAACATGGTGTTGTTTATTTTGAAGCTCCTTTTGGCTTAAAACAAAACAAGGATGCAAATGTCGTCTGAAATCTGCATAAGTTATTACGTCAATAGAAGTTTTAGCAGAAGACACGGGGCTGGATGATAAAAATAAAGCGGCATGTGAAGGCGGCTGAGTGACGCTCAGACACTCTCTCAGGGTAAAAGCAGGAAGGAGTCTCAGCCGACGGAGGAACATCTTTCCAGAACAACACGGCTGTGTTTTAGTGTCTTCGGCTCAGATTTTAAAACACTTCTTTCTTGTGCTGCACGTCTCTGTCAGACAGGTATTCATGCCAGTCATGTTGCTCAGAACTTCTTCCAGTTCTAAAGGAGGAAAACACATTTGAATAATGTGTATCTCTGTCTTCATCTCAGGGCGAGTCAGGTCAGGTCAGGTCAGGTCAGGTCAGGTCAGGTCAGGCTCTTACAAGGTTTGCTTCATTCAGAACAGCTAAACAATAAGCTGCTTCTCTTGTCTCTGGAATAATGTCCACCTGATGGATCACATGCGTTCCTGTGCTGACAGTAATGAGCTCAGTGACAACTGAGCTCATTACTGTCAGCTAAAGGGCACAAACCACCTTCACTTCTCAGTAATAACTGCAAACTCAACATTTCAGGCATATCAGTCACATCCATTCTAACAAAGAGATATCGACACTGGATATGAAATTATCCAGGACTGTTTGTGTCTTGTTTTTGTGTTTCCTTTTCAATCATTATTAACATCAAGGTCTTTCCGCTTCTGTTTTATTTTTATTACTTCTTTCATCATTGCGTTTTGTTTCAGGCCTTTGCATTTTCAGTTTTCTGTTGCTGCTGATCACATATTTCTGTCTCATCGTGTTCCTTTGTCTTTCTCCACTCGTATACATTATTTTCCATATTCTCTGTAACTATACATGGATTCAGTGGGTTCATCCTCATGTTTGATCTGTGGTGATGACGGGATCAACAAACCGGAGAAACTTTGACTTTACCCTCTAACAGTCAAATCATAGAAGGTTTCATCTCAGGGACACTTTTCTGTTTTGTTGTTGTATGGACTACTGCATGAGCTGTTTCAGGGTGATGGATGGCATAAATGTGAAAGGATACAAGGAAGTGAGGAGGAGTGGAGCTATTTTCCCTTCAACCATCTCTGCAGCACCACAAACAGAAAACAACACCAGTGAACCAGCAGCCTCCTGCTGCCTCTGATAGGCTCAGAGCCTCTGCAGACTGGGACAGGCCATCACAGACCGCTGTGTTTGTCCGCAGCAGCAAGTCAGACCAGCGCAGCTCAGGCTTCAACAGGCAGGCTGAGAGCCGAAGGCAGCGAACGCCTCATCCCCTCCAGGGACGCAGCTCTGCTTCCTAAAGGACGTCAGCACACAACACAACCAAACATCAACACGTCTGAGGCTCTGCCTCACTTCCTCACACAATGGGTGGTCCCTTCCTACCAGCTCTCACAGCCAGGAGCAGCAAAGGTCTAACTATTTTTCTCTCTCTTTTTTTGTTTGTTTGTTGCCTTTTTACCACGGCTGTCCAGCAGGTGGCCCTGTAGGGCAGTTGGACGAAGCCGGCATTTAAGCAGAGAGTGGGTGGAGGGGAGACGGAGCAAAGGATGCAGCTCTGTCTGGCTCCTGCTGAGGAAGAAGAGGAGGAGGAATGACAGAGAGGAGGAGGAAGAGCAAGTTTTCCTGTCCCGGCTGAGGTCGGCTGGGGGGAGCAGTGTGCATGTGGGGGGCGGCTGGGACTGAGGCTTGTAGGAATGTGAAAGACAGCGGCTGGGCTGGGACAGGATGCTGACAGGGTGTGGTGACCTTGCAGAGCTGAAGGCTGAGGTGGTGAGGCGGTCAGAGGGAAAGTGTGAAGTCTTCAGCAGGCTGCTGGACTCACATTTATTATTCAGTGTGTGCCACCTCAGGAGATAAACACACGAATACAGCAGAAATTTTAGCAAAAATGACATAAAAAAATGTGATTTGTATCACTAAACTGCATAAAGTAACTGCATTGAATCATATCTGCATTTCAACTGGAACTTATAGTGACAATGGTGAATCTAAATTCTTATGATGCTAAGAAATTCATCATGATAAATGGTAAACGATACATTATGCCTACATTGCAGCCACAATTTGAAGTGAGCTGCTTATGTGTGTAGGGGAAATAAATAGATTCATAAACACAAAAAACAGAGCATATACCATGTATTATTTCAGTATGTTTTTTGTGTTAGTTTCATAAAAGCAAGACAAAGTTCCAGATACTTACCATTTGTCCCCATCAATTAGCATTATTTATTTATGCATTTCAGCAAACAAAAAAGTTTTCTCAATTTTCAGTTTTCATTATTTCATTGTTTTAGCTAACTATGATAAACTTAATATAGATGCGCTTTAAAAAAATTTTTTTTAGAGTAAATGCAGCAGAGGTTTGACTAGAGCTCAGTGTTCTCAGCGTACAGCGAAACAGAAATGAGGGCAGGGTGACAATGCTGTCCCTGAAACTTCCGCCTGCCTCCTCAAATGTCACTGCACTGCTGCAGAGTGCTGCACAGACAGAGAGACACGCTTCGACTCAGCCTGCTGGAGTGAGAAGCATCCCCGGACCGAAACAGCAGGGGGATGATGGTGCATCCACCCTGAAACTCACACACACACACACACACACACACACACACACACACACACACACACACACACACACACACACACACACACACACACACACACACACACACACCCCCACACACACACACACACACACACACACACACACACACACACAGACACGCACGCAAGGTCTGCACTTCTGCCGACTGGATGGAAGACGAGCCAACATCCCTGTGGGTGTAACTGGGCACTTCCTGCTGGCATTCAGACGGAAGCCTGCAGCACTCTCCTCTGCTCCACCCTCTGCAGGCCCAGAATAAACTTTGTTTACTCCACGTTGTCATAAAGGGTGTTCAGGCTGTCAGTTCAACCTCATAAAAATCGGCAGTGGAGTCAGTGAAGCTGGAGCCAGTCCTGTTTTGGATTTAAGTCTTTTTTTGTTTTTACAAACCTGAAATTAGCAACCTACACTGGCGATTTGGACCAAATTTAATAAGCTCCACTTTGTACCAAACCCCAAGGTTTAAAAACAAAAGGTCATTTAGAGTCCTTTGAACATCTATGAGAGACATCTTTTTTTCTTTTTGTGTTTTCTCATAATATTGTATTTGGTAGTCTGTTCATGCAGCATCTTAAATACTGAAGGTTTTTCTGCTACAATAAAAAGGCTGTAGTTAGGTTTGCCTGTGTATATTAATATCTTATGAGAGATCTCAAGTTTTTATATACTTTTTCATGGCATTACACTTTGTCTATTTCAGCAACAAGGCAGGTCAAAGGTCATGAAAACATTATACAACAACCTATTGTTAAACAGTCAATAAATATATTATATTTTGATAAATGCCATCATGAAAATCATCACGCAAAATTACATTTGCTGGCATACAAATCTGCTTCAAGAGAATACCTTCAATTTTATTAAAAATCAAAGGAAACGCTAAACAGGTGGGTTTTTAGTTTGAATTTAAAGGATCTCAGTGTTTCTGCTGTTTAGCAGTTTTCTGGACGTTTGTTCCAGATTTGTGGCACATAGAAGCTGATAGAAGCCGTTCAGTGATTTATAAATTAACAAAAGTATTTTAAAATCTGTTCTTTAGGATATAAATCAACCACAAATCAATGTTGAAAATGTCAGAGCAGAGCCGGTCAAACATGGACTTCTGTCCCGTTTCAGAGACATAAACATACATACAAACTATTTAGAGTATTTAGAGTTAGTGACAGCTTTGCTTGAGTTTTTTTGCATCAGTAGTTAATAGATAATCTGTCCCAGATTGTCAGCCTGCATCTGGACCAAAGAGTTAAGAATGTATAAACATGTTCTCACTGAGGCCTGTACATATGTGCAGTTTTAAATTGACATTTATTATCTCTGCCTCTGTATAAGACACAGCTGTTGAGTATTTGCTAATTTATGGTCCCTAGGGGTCACCATACACGTCTCTCTGACTGACATATGGCAGTGAAAAACAACAACAGAGTTTTCCTTGTGGGGCCTCTCGTCTCAGGCTGGTGTTATAGTTAAACATGACATTTATGGTTTTCCAGCTCCACAAACAGCAGCAGATTTATTCTGGGCTTAGTCCTGTCCCAGATCATGAAAAAACCTGGGCCTGCCTGGTGCAAGCCACCGCTTTGACCCCGGCTCAGTCGGCGAGCACACCTGCTCTCCTCCCGGCTGCCTCCACTAACTCCTTCAGCTAAGAGATAAGCGGACGTATTTGCATCCTGCCTGCATGCGGACGCCGTGATAAGCAGCTGCAGGGACTTACGTGCTGTTGAGAATTTGGAACCTTTCTCCTTTCCTGAAGCTCAGGTCATCCTCTGTCCGCGCCTCGTAGTCGTAAAGTGCCACAAAGAGAGTGACTCCTGCAGCGGGGGAAAGCAGAGAAAAAACACAGAGTCAGCTCTTGGAAGATTATAAAGAGAAAATGAAGCTGAAGAAGTGAAATGAGCTCCAGAACACTGAGTGAACAGCAGCTATCTGCTCTGGACCAACAGGAACATTCAAGGTGAATGTTCCGGCAAATCATTCTGGTTAGCAGGGAGAAAAGCCGTGCTATGTCAGCAAATTACACAAATATAACAATATGTATGAATAATGGAATAAGTTGATTAAATGATTAACCAGTATTTTCAGGGTTTGTTTTCTATCATTCACATCAGACTGGCTGAATGGCAGGCAGAGTGGAAATGCATGTCATATGAAATGTTATAGCCTCTCAGATTCTGCACCTTTTGGATGGCTGAAACACACCGACACTGCAACATTGGCAGTAACATGATATCACCAGTAGCTCCAGAAACTGCAACTCAGCAACTTGAATTGTGACCAAATCCAGAGTTTTCTATCTCATGACAAAAACATGTGATGCTAAACTGTAACGTTTGTCTTTTATTTTATTTGCAAACCCATTTAGAGATGTGCTGTAGGAGTTGTATCTACTGTGTAAACGAATCATGTAACTTGGAAGACCAATATGGAATTATTTTTTTACACTTTGACAATTCATCAGGACCAGATTTAACTTGTATTAAAGGAACATGAAAATGTTTTTTACACTTTAAATATTAACTGCCTTTTTGTGAAAGGTTATGTGCAGCAATTTCAACTTCTTTGTAACATCTTATGGCAAAAGTTAAGCTTGGATGAAATTTTAATGGAGACTAATTGCATTTCTAATGTATAACAAATAGCTTACATGAAAAAATTTTTATTATGCGATTCATTGTCAGTAGAAGCAATAGAATCTGCAGAATGTGGCAAAAAAATTATTTGATTAAAAGATTAACTACTAATGTAATCATTAGTTGTAATCCTACTTGTGTTAAATCTGAAACAATGTCTAAAATAAGACAGTATTTGATCCACAACAAGGTGATTTCCTCACCTTATGTTATTTCCAAAGAGTTACAAAGTCAAAACCTGGTTAGAGTAGATGACCTAACTAAAAAAAACCTCACAGCTCTCCGCTCTTTGCTGGATGACACCACAATACTTTCAGTTATTGATCATCTTGCTGCAGACAGTTATTGGAAGTCTTCTGTTATTCTTGCATCCTCCCCTCTCCATCTTCCAGTCAGGTCTGATAAAAACTGGGCAGAGTGTAAACCAAGACATACTCAGAGACAAAAGCAAATCCTCAGGCCTGGACGCGACGACACTGCTGAGCACTTCCAACTTAAGACACAACCCCGCTGAAACCGATGAAAGGTGGCAAAGTTGCATCACTTCAGCAGGTTGAAGTGATGCAGAGTGATAGTGGTTAACACCCTGCAAGCATTTACAGTAAAGAGCCGAGTGTGTTCTGCAGCACATCTGTAACATGCTTTCATTTTTACACATAGCCTTGCTAAGATGGAGCATTTTTAGTTCTAAACATTTCACCAAAACTTTATTTCATTTATTTTATTAATTTTATTAACTAAATAATAAATATAAAAAGTTTATGCAATGAGTAGAAGAAATCATGAATGAGCAGAAACTGCTATCTGACACCTCTTCAAATAAAAAGAAAATGAGTTATTCAACTCAGAAAACTATTACAGATATTTCACTTACACAAAAATGCACAACAAAAAAACCCAAAATACACGACATGAGCTTATTTAATGCTGTATCGCTTCATCATAATAATTTTCAAATTTCTTTGAAATGCAGAAAGAGATTTTGACTGTTTTCACTCTGTCGGGATAGTTCTATAAATTGACATCCTTAATTGAAGTGCATTATTGTTGCTGCCCTGAATCAAATTTCTTTTAAATTCCAGTTTCTTTTAAGGTGTATTTGCTTTTTCTCTTTACAAATCTGCTTTGAAAAGCTCAGTCCATCTATGTACAATTTAAATCAATGTGATTTTTAATCTAAAACTGAGCTGCATATGTCTCCCTCCATTCATGGAGACTCTAGCCTTGCAGGGCAGACGCTGAGTCAGTGCGACCTGACTCCCATCATCCAGGCACAAACGCTTCAGATAAAGAGCAGTGGCCTGAAAAAACCTTTTTAGTCACTCCAGCATTATCCAAGTCTGGTTGAAATAGAGCAAGATCGTCCCCCACAAAGGCTAAATAGCCGACAGAGATGAACTGCGCCAGCCGCAGCTAGGAAGAGTTTGATGGCAAACTCTTCATTTTGAGACTCCATGTGAGGAGGTCGTGTGAGGCGAAAGGGGCTGCACAGACTGGAGCTGGTGCTGAAGCAGGATAATGGAAACCCTTTTGGGTGCAGCGCTCCAAAATTTCCATCCGATCAGAGGCTGAAACTCATTCATTGATTGGTTTCTGTGTTGGGATGCCAGTCAATGTGTTGCATAACATTGTGGCACTGGCTCCATATTCCAGTTAGGGAAAATGACATCAGCAAATCCGCTGGTCGTCGATAAGATGGTGTCTGGTGTAGAGGCAGCCGCCTGCTTGTGAGCTGGAGTGAAGCCGAGGTTTACGTCTAAATGTCTCCCACCAGGTCAAAGTTGAAAAAAAAAAAACTCAGCTCAACTCTTCTGCCTCTCTGTGGATTTACATCATCCACACCTTGAGTTCAAGGTGTTGTGTTAGGATAGGATAAAAATGCTGAGTTCCTCTGCAGAGCCGCTTGGCTCAGTCAAAGAGAAAGGATTTCCTGAGTAAGAAAATTCTCTCCCTCAACAATGAGCTAAGAGCACAAAGACTCGCGCTGATGCCAAACAGACGAGCTGACAGGACCAGTCTGGGGTCAGGGAGAGAGAGTCGATCATGTGATCACACCAACATGAAACTCTGTAGTGACAGGAAAGAAAACTCAAAAACGCAACTTCATCTGATGTCTCAAAAGGTACCACTAAAATGAAATACTGGAATTGTATTTCCTAAAATATTTTCATCATATTTACTGTATGTGGCAGAGTATTTGCATTTCGTCAAGGAGGCAAAGAGATTGGCTTTCTTTTCACCTAGTGGTGGAATTTGTTTAAGAAACCGTTCGGCATACCTCAAGCATGCAAGCTGTAACCATGGTAACAACCATGACAACAAGAACTACATTCTTTATGATGGTCAGTATCAGATTCCATGATGGACCAGATACCTGTTAATTCTGTTCCAGCTGCACTCCCAGTGTTTCATTGGGGGGATACCAGTTTATATATATATATATATATATATATATATACATATATAACTATAAACAGAGTCATTTATGAATCAGCTTGGGCTTTAAGCTTTGTCTTCATACGATTAATTCAACTCCATTGTCCTGGTACGAGCTGAACTATCGACAAGTCATATTAAAAAATGCTAGTATTAGCCTAGCATTTCAACAATCTGCCCCGTCTCCCATAAGGCATAAGGGGGCCTAATCTCTTGCTCTCACAAAGCACAACCTATTTCTACAAAGCTCCTTCTTTGAGCAGACTTTCTTTGCTTCCTCCTCAGCCCTCCACTGTGCGTCCCCGACTCAGCTGCTCCTTTTTCCTTTGTTGTTTTTGAGTTCTAATGGCAGCTTTATAAATTGAGCTAACATGTGAACTGCACATCAAAGCCGTTCTGTAGAGCCTCTAGTTGGGACAAAAAACCAGTCAATATGAAAAAAACTGACACTATGGCAGAGACTGAACATTGTTGGTAAAGAGGCACGTGATCCCACTAACAATGTACCCTAGAAGAATAGATATAATATTGTTATACTTTTTGACATTGTTTACATAACATTAGATCTAATGAATGATCAGATGAAGAGTTGCTATTGGCAACCAAATCAGCAGACTACTGCTGTGAGCATCCATCTTTGATCCATCACTTTAATCCTTTGGGTCTCAGCGTTGGGACGATCTCTGCAGTCTCATTGCTTTGTGACTTTGAATAGGACGTTCTGAGTTCGACTCCCAGTCGGTGTAATCTTGTCTTCATCTTCACAGCTTGCTTTTTGTTGCTTAAAATGAGCTGAATTAATTCACAATAAATCATTCTGCTGCAGATGTTTATCTTTTGGTTTTTCCACTGGGCCTGCTGCCTGGGTGAATTCAGGTCGGTCCTCCTGAGGTTGAGTCATAAAGCTTAGGTGGGCTTCTAGTAATGTGAATTCTGTTAAAGCCACGCAATGCGCCACAGTGACTCATCTCTTTCTGTTAAAAGTAAAATGCTCGACATTTGAAACAGCGCTGCTTCAGATGTTGGGTCCCGCTTAGCGCTGGAAGGCTCACTGCTGCTGAGCTTACTTTGACTTTGCTACTAAAATTCCAGTTTACTAATAAAATCTGCGAGTCCTGAGAGAAACCCAAAAGCTATAAAATGATATGAATTATATAAAATTATACTTGTGCTACTTTCAGTCAGCCTCGGGGTTTCTATGAGAATGCTTTAACATAGAAACCCCAGATGACCTGCAAAATGCATTTTATCAGGATTTTAAATGGCAGATCATTAAATGCAGAGCACGGCTGAGAAGCAGAAGAAGAAATAAACATTTTCAACATAAGAAACTAATCTGAAACTGTTGTATGTGTTTGGATTCAGCTCATCTGAGTCAATCCTTTGTTGAACCACTTTTTCTGCAGTTTCCTGCAGGTCACCCCCTGTCTGACTGGGGCGTAGAAGTACAGCCACAGACTGACATTAATCTGACAGCTTAAACTCAGATCTGAAGAAAGCATCTGAAGATTCATTTTAAAGTCTTGCCTTTTGTTAGTTTTGGACTTTGACTGGTCCAGGATTAACAGGTATTCTTCCTCTGTTTACTTTTTCATCTTCATCAACTCTGACCGGCCTGAACATCACTGCGCCACCATGATGCTGCCGCCACCACATTTAATACGAGGACTTTTTGATGTGCAGCGTCAATTTTGTTTTTCTACACAACATAAAGGTTCAGTTTTAGTCTCTTAATGTTCAGTATTTTTCTTTGTTCTCCAATGGCTGATACTTTTAAAACAGGCAACATTTGGCAATTAAAAAATACATATATCTATTATTACCTTTTGTAATCCTAACTAATTTAAAACAAGAGAGGATTGGTCTGACTAAACAGTGAGAAAAAAAGCACATTTATCTTTTTTTTATTCTTTTATTTCAGCATACAAAAACTAAACAGTAGTCGCAGCAGCAGGAATACATCCAATCACTTAGCTAAAATTATAGATTTAGTTTTGAAAATTTTACGCAAATAAAATGATTCAGTGGAATTTTTACTCAGGATTATTATATTCAAGAATCTCACACTCTCCGACAAGCAGACGTCAGCAATACGGCGTGTCCTGAAGGAAACTAGTTACATTAGCCAAAGATGGCTGAATAAAAATGCATTTTTATTTCAATTTAAAAACAGAACTCTTGTACCCTGAAATGTGCTACTTTTTGTTGGTTAATGACACAAAAAAATCTAACAAAAACCACTTTAGTTTGTGGTGGTAAGGTGATATGGGGTATGACTACATGTGGAAGGTGCTGCCGCGTCTCTTACCTGTCCCTCCACGAGTCCGCAGTGTCCCAGTCTGAGAGGACACGTTGACCCCCCCAAAGACGGCCACCCCCTGTCCGACGGGGGCATGGAAGTTGTTGTAGTTGGGAATGGCAGTGACCCCGAAGTTGGGATAGTGCTGCGGCGTGGGGTCGGCCCCATAGCGGTACCCGGCTCCATGGGAGATGCTGGCGTCTCGGTCGTCTGTGAGTTTGGTTGCCTCCTTATCCTTGCATTGCACACAGCCCATTATCTATAATCTGGTGGCAACAAACACACAGAGACAGAAAGTTAGGCAGCTGAATAAATAGGAGTGTGTGCTTGTGGCTTAACAGAAAGAGTCAGAGGGAAGTTCACATCAATGAAAGGTTGGAAGTGAAAAGAGATTCAAGTCAGCTGATAATGTCAATCTGAGTCCTCACAGGTCATCAGGTGCAGGAGAGGGAGCCAAACAACGTCAAGCTTACTTTTTACACCAATTCCTTTTTTCTAAACCATTCTGCAAAAATGTGATGTGCTCTTCTCTGGACTAAATCTCGTTTGTTAAATATGCACTTTGGTTGGGTTTTTTATAAATAATCGTTTTTAGCAGAGATAATATTTGGATGAGAGGGCAAAATGCATAAATATGTATTTGTATGAGATCTGGCTAAGTGTGGACCAGACCCTCTTCTGTATGTGACTCACAGAAACCCATAAAAATCTGGGCACCGCTGTGTGGAGGGGCAGAGACGCACATCAGCGCTGTCAGACCCTCCAGGTGAAGGCAGCAAGCAGAAACCTGATTTCATCCCAGAACCCTTTACTGGCTTTTTAATTAGAATCAGAACCAACATCTTCCCTCTCTTTCACCCTCTCCACAGGTGTCCTATAGCAAGTCAGGGCTCAGTTCCAGAGCCAGAAAAAACCCAGCAGGAAGTGGAACCAACAGGCTTCTCTAAAGATTCAACTTATGAGTCAATACAGATTCACCAGAGACACATTAGGAAATGACAACTCAATATCTGAGCAGCAGCGTACTCCCAAAGGACCGGATCGCATCTAATTGTGAGCATGTAAAATGAAAACAGCTGCAGGAATGACAGAGGAGGCGCTTTTCTTTCCCGCCGTGTCGTCTCGCTCATCTTTTCTTTCCCGCCGTGTCGTCTCGCTCATCTGCCTGCAGTGAGCCGCTCGTTACCCACTGTGCAGAAAGTTATAATGAAGTGTTCACCTCTAACGGTGTCACCTATAAACAAGTGGAGGAGTGTTGGACGAAGCTTCATCTTATCAAAATGAGAAGATCACACGACAACTTCCTGAGAAATTGGTGAAGCCGTCAGACTGCAGGACAAATGCAACCCAGCACACATTGGATGTTCAACCTTACCAGATGGAATCCCTCATCAGCATCCATAACTATCTTTTTGGTGCCAGAAGCCTCTTTGGGTTAAATATTACAGGTAAAATTACTTCTAAAGAAGAGACACAATTTAGTCAAGAAGTTGACAAATATTGGCTGTTGACCAGAATCAGCTCGGTGAACGGATGATTGAAGGCGTAAAAGAAAAGTAGCAAGTAGAAACATTAGTCTTTTGTAAAACTCAGCTGAGGTAAACATTTTACATTCTCTAGGGAATATACACAGAAAATATAGTTGTAGGTATGATGGCAGAAATCATCTTCAATATAAAAAAAAAAATCACATATAAACAACATAATAATGCCAATCCTAAAACTCGTCAACCCTGTGTAATAGCTCCCTAATGCACAGATGTATTGCAGATGTAATGCATCAGCTCTTATTATATTATTATTACGAAGGGTGAAAATCTCACTTTTGATGCTCTCTTATGTCACATTTTGAAGAAAATCTGAATTTGAAACTTGAATCTGCCACAATTGTTACTAAAATACACCAAAATAATGCTATTTAAGAAAAGTAGGTAAAAATAAAGAAATCAGCTATATGGTGTAAAAATGAAAGAGTAAATTATTATAGCTTTATTTGGGGTCATTATTGATGATAAAGCAGCACGGAAATCTAATAACATATAAAAGCCAATTTATTTTATTGTTCTCTTACCATATTTCAGTTATTGTGTGAATTGAAATGTTAATGACAACTTCACTATAGTCATTAAAACACTGCTAAAATGAACAATAACAGTAATCAATAAGGTCTATTATTTGGATCATACAGACACACTATTCATAAAATCTAAACTGTTCGAATTTGCTGGCATTGCGGAATTACAAACAGCTATTTTCTTGTTTAAAGCCAAAATAATTTATTACTGGGAAAAATTCAAGAGCTTTTCTTAAGGAAGGACTTCATAATTCTTTTTATTTTTTTATTATATGTTTATTGACATCAAACTTCAAACCTAAAAAACAGAGGAAATCAGAAATCAATCATAAAATCGATCAGTGTCAGATTTTGTTTGTTGTTTTTACTTCTTCTCTTCATTGGTGTCTTTTAAGTTAGAATCAGTGATTGGAGATTATTTAGTTTAATCCAGATCAGAGGCTACTGATCTGGATTAAGTAGCTACACTGGTGTTTATGATGGGACTAATTTCTGAATAAGCCGCCATCACGGTGTTTCAAAGTGATTACATTTGACGCTTTTGGCTTTTTAATTGAGAAAATTTAAGATTTGTTTGTGCAATGTAAAGTCTGAAATGTCAGCGCGCATCATTGCACTTACATAAGGATTTAGTGGCAGGCAGAGCTTTGTGCTCGCTCTAATCAATTTGGTTTTGATCTGTGTCAAAGACGTGAAACAAGCAGACAGAGTGAAAAGCAAAGACTCACACTCCCAGTCAGGGTGTTGCATGCCCAGATATCTCTGTCAATAGACTCTGTAATCATCTGTGACAGGATGAGGGGGCTTCATGGTGTGTGTGTGTGTGTATGTGTGTGTGTGGGGTGCAACAACAGCAGCTGTGCTACGCTCAGTACAAAACTGCGGAGCATAACCGTGTCTGCTCTCAGCAGAAGCCGACAACTTGCTGAGAAAACAAACTGCTTTTGCTAGACTATTTCTATAAACCTTAACCGACAGACGGCTTTTAAAAAGACGAGGAACTGTTGTATCTGTTCTTCTGAACGTATGCAAAGCTGCTCCTTTACTGTTTCTGAGATGTTAACCTGGGACAGATTGGATCAGAACTGTCAGTGTCTGCTGGACCTGGATACTGACCATTCATCCACAAACACAAAAATCTAACTTTTTTTTTTGATCAGTGAATGCAACAAACCACATCAACAACCCTCTTAGAAAATAAAATATATCTTATCTCATCTCTTGGTTGTTGCAGCTACACTGGTGTTTATGAAGTTTGTACTATTATTGCTACTATTTGTTGATCAGTTTTCCTCCAAAAATTAGACTTAGGTTCTAAAACAAAAGAACAATCACTTCTTATAAGGTCAACAAAAGCAGTGGCGTGCATCGCTAAGTAAAATAGCACAAATCATAAACACTAGTTCTGCTAACTATAAGAGACTACAAGAACAGTATTGAGCAGAATCTAATGCTAAAGCACGAATGTCAATTCACATTATATCTGTTAGAGAAAGACAACAACCTTTGAGCACCAATTTAATTTTGACATTTTAATTTACATGCTCTGTAATGAGATATATAACAGTTACATAAATAACTGTTATATATCTCTACCACCTGCGTCCAAGCATAAATATAAGCATCTGACAACTTGAAGCATTCTTAGGTTGATAACCATAAACTTCAACATAAACTTGAAATGAAAAACAGCCAAGAAATTGAGTGCTTCAGGTTTTATGAATGAATACATTTAGGTGGAGCTGAGTGTGCTAAGCATTTTCAAAGCTAGCAGAAGTGATAAAGGAAACATTCGCTCTGGTCTTAGCATATTAGCATTGTAGCAGAAGTGTACCCACCACTGCTGATGTCACCAGAATCAGGCAGTTCTGAGGTTTGATTGGTTACCTGTGCATCAGACAGGAAGGGTAAAAACAACTCAAGGATTTGATAAATGACACAAAAAGCTCTTGAACAGGAGGAATCAGTATGTGATGAGTGAGGAGTGATGACGGGTTGCAAACACATTTCCTCATTTGATGAAGTGATGGAGGAGCTTGGTGTAGAATTATTTAACAAGCACCAACACAATCCTAAAAAAAAAAATCACCACACAGTATCAATCATTTCTCATATTTCTGCTGTTGATAAAAGCAATTGCTAAAATCGTCGGATTCCTGAAGTGACAAAGCCGGATTCCTCTCAGACTGCTGCGGGTCCAGTAAGGGCCGGGGTAATCACTGCCTGCTCTCTTTGAACTGAAGCCTCTTTCATCTCCTCTCTCCCCACTTCCTCTCCTCTCTGCTGATTAATTATTCTTCCCTTGCAGAAAGAGCCGGCACCTGCTGGCTGGAGGGGCCGTTCAGCTGCACGCTCCCCTGCTGGGAAGCCACGACAGAGGCCAGTTTATCACACCCTAACTTCCAGCATAGTACAAACATTTCAAGCCAGAGTGAATCATTCCTTTGACATTAGACAAAATAAAAATAAAAAATGAAAGAACGCCTAAGACATCTTTCAGATTCACAGCAGACCTGGAATCTTCTCACGGTTCATCATTTCTCAACATGAAATCAATCAACACTAAACCAAAACCTATTAAAACGGCAGCATAGTGCCGGGGCCGGGGCCACATCTACTTTTAGTTACTGCAACAGGCTGCTCATATAACACCAGGGCGCTATGTTTATTAGCTTGTCTAATTAGAAGCAAAAACCTGAAGCACCTAAAGCACTAAGAGGTTGACGAAGAGGTTGGGAAGAAGAAGCCTTATTAAGTCAGAGCAAAATAAAGGGCTGTCAAGTAAAACAGTGGAGGGGGCTGATCAGAGCCCCCTCCTGCCCCCCGTTGCCCCATGGCCATGTGCCTGGATGAATTATTCATTGGCTAGTTTTGCTGACCAGAAGGTATGCTGCTGTGTCTCAGGGGAAGATTTTAAAGGTGTGGGTGGGATTCACTAAATGTGGGGGAGACGAGGCTGAGAGTGGCTGATGGAGGAAAGATGGTGGAAACAAGCTATGCTGCCTGTTGGAGGAGCTAATAAAAGAATGAACTTTGAGACGAATAAGAAAAGATGCACCGGTGTGAAAACTTGCTCTGTATCAATTCCGATATTAATTGTATTATGCTGAGGCCAACTGATATTTACCAATTTTATATATAGGGGTAGGGCTTTACATTACTCCTACTGTGATATATATATATATATATATA